GCATTTCCATCTCACATGTACGGTTGCTTTAAATTGAAGTAGAATTGCTTTATTAAAACAGAAGTACTCTGTAAGGAATGATAAGTCAGGCATCTAATAAACTAAACATGTAAATATCCAAATTTATGAAAGTCCTACTCCAACTTAGTGGTAATTAAGTTAAATATGTGCCCTAGCATTAATTGCTTAACAATTACTTAGATACAATTTTGGATCTAAAATTTTTTAGCTGCAGTTTCTGAAGTGAGAATTTGAGTTTTGAAGTGTATATTCAATCGTCTTTATAATTTCCTTTCGTGTATATATATATATATATATATATATATATATATCCCTGCTTGTCAAAAAAAATAGATTTGCTAACGAAAGGACACATAAAAGAATAACATTAGTTTACTACCCTTTGCTCGACATATAGAGCCCGTTTGGATTAGCTGATTTGAAGTAGCTGAAAAGCATTAGGTGCTGAAAAGTACTTTTAAATGCTGAAATTGATTTAATATATAAGCAGTTACGTGTTTGAGTACAAGTGCTTAAATTGATAATAAGTTGCTTCAATATTTGATAAGTAAGTGCTAATAAACTCTTTTTCTATTAAAATGACTTAAATAACCTTAGAACTATTTACACTTATAAGGGCGTAATTTCTTCAAAATTTTAGATTCCAGACAGATTCAAATATAAAATATTCTGTTTGTCGTTTACAACTATGCTTAGATAAGATAATTTTTATGATAAATATAATTCATTTTATGATAAACATATAATCATAAGTTATAATAATTAATAAATTGACAAATGTTTCTCAGTAAAAAATAAACGTAAATAGGACAAATTATATGAAGAGAAACAAACATTGCCTTCATCACCATAACACTAATAAAGCAATACACCAAAAATTTGATATGTCCTCATTTATTACATACAGTTCAAAGATTAATACACAATCACATTGATATTAGTATGCAAAGACTTGAATGGGTGGGGGGGGGGGGGAAGGAGGGGAGGGGGGGAGGTTAGGTTGAATACTTGAGGCGGTGAACATCGATGTACGAGTTTTGAGTTTTGTACTAAAAGAAATATTTTAAGGATAAAATAGTAAAAAACTTGGTCAAACTTAAAGTGCTTGTAAGCTAAAAATTCATAAGCTGGGGGTCACCAGCTTATGGCTTTTGGCTTATTTTTGACTTATAAGCACTTGGCTTATAAGCACTTTTAGCTTTACCAAACGCGTAGATAAGCCGAAAAGTGCTTATAAGCTGGCTTAGCCAAACACTCTCGTAACAATTATAGCACAAAAATGCCAAAAAGCCAACAAAAGAAAGGGGATTTATTACATAATGAAAAAAGGATGGTTATCTCGACCAGATATCAAAGAAAAGATAATTTTTAATTAGATAGAGCAATACAGAGCCCAGAAGAAGAAAAAGGGCTAAAAGGACGTTCGTTATTTACTAAGAGAACATAAAATTGTTAGTTTAAGTCTCAACTAGAGAAGAGAATGACAGCTTCCCTTGACGACCTGGGAAAGCTTAGCAACTTCTTTGTAAGTTTTTCATAGGAGTTGATTTCGAAGAAATCAATGATGATTTTCTGAAGCACCATCCCATTCTGTAGAACAATTTGCAGAAAAGAAAGGATGTACTCATCGCAGTCCCACCAATCGTAGCCGTGAATCCTTAAAGTCTTGAGATGCAGCACCCAGCAAGGTCTTGATATCCAGTAATTTTCTCCATTGAAGTCATTAGAATTCTTAAAATGCGACCCAAAATGATACTGCAATAGTTTGACAATATTCCAGAAGTAATTGGTTAATCATGGAGCAACGCATGCAAATGTAGAAGCAAATTCAGAGCTAGTTTTGTATGTTTTTAACTAATCCATTCTATCACCAACTCGAACTATGTATACATATACATTAAGAAATGTATACATACAACAATAGGCTTAAAATGTATACATACAATAATAGGCTGAATACATAGACGGCCTCCTAAACTTGTCCAAATTATTCGTTTAAATAAAATAAGCCTATGACATATTGAACAACTGACCTATGCTCAGACTGTGCCTATTGAACACAAATTTGACAATTCCTAACCTTAGTTCAGAGCGTGAACTTCACTTGCCGTTGACATAACAAACAAACCCAGTAAAAAATGACACATCAGCAACAAACTCAAAATTTGAAAAACATATACAGTAATATATGGAGAGAGAGGGGAAGTTGACCGTAAGAAAAATTCTGGTGAAGTTCCATATGAAAAAATGGTGATTTCGAAGTAGAACATGCAGAAAGCATAGCCAACTTCATCATGGTCAAACAACCAATCATAAACATCCCATGGAAGTACTAATGAATCCCCCATCAACGTCAATCTTTTCATTACCTCTGAATTTTCATTTTCCAGTACATATACAATATTCACCGTTCAGTTATCCACGTATAAATAGAGATGGATCTTCCCCATTACCCAGTCTTGCAATTAATGGAGATTTCCCTTTCTTTACCAACAAAGTTTTCTTTTGGATTGTACTGTTTGTTCTCACACATGCTTGCTCTCAGCACCATGTTCGGATTGTTCACCGATTTTGAGCTCGGATTCTGCCCGTAAGCTTGTTTGTGTAAATCGCCAATGACAACAACCATTTTGCCATGGCGATTTAGAACCGAAATGGAGATTCAGTACCAGATCCCAAATTTAGCAAAATATCCCAAAAGATGTGAACATTGTTGAAAAATGGAAAAAACCACCGCAAAACACTATCACAGCAGTAACAACATCTTTATCAACTAAATACAAGATCTATTCAGAAAAATGGGTTTGAATCTGAAAAGAAAAAAAATTTGGAAGAAAGATGGCTTAAAACGGCTGAGAAAATAAGTCTGAATCTTGAAGAAGAAAGAATGGATGGTGTGAAGAAGCAGAAAAAGAAGAACAGTGTTTTCCAATCTATGGCCGAAAAAAGCGGAAAATGAGTTTGGTAGACGGAGAGGAAGTAGAACACAAACAGCCAGAAACTCATTTTTCTGGCGAAATTTTATATTTTCCAGTTAAAAGTGTTTAGACTAGTTTAACATAAAGTCATTTCACACACTCAATTTTAAGAGGCAAATACGCATCTGCCATGTCAGCGACTAGTGTTTAATAGACACAGTTTGAGCATATATCAGGTGCTCAATAGGTCATATGCTTAATATAAGTGTCTAAATGAAAAACTCAGACAAGTTTAAGGGACTATCTATATATTCAGTCCATATAATAAGATCACACTCAATTATGTACCCATTGAGCAACAAATTAAACATAAAATCAAGCAGATTAGAAGAACACTGATAGTAGAATAAGGGGCATTCCGAAATGGTACTACAGCATGTACCACATTCCAAAGGTAATTGGTTAATCATTGATCATTGTACATAAATGTTAGGCAGATATTGTTGTATATGTTCAACTGAATCCATTACTTTAAGCTCAAACTATGCATACATATGCATTGTGAGCATCAAATCAAGAAGATAGAAGAATAACAATAGTAGTAGAAGAAGGAGCACGCGTACCTCTTTGAATGCAGATTCTGTGTTTATGTGCAACATCTCAACCTGAGGACAGCTTTGTAGAAGGATTGCTATTCCAGGGAGCTCCCATTTCTTCATAGGAGTGTTTAATGTCAAGTATTTGCATCTCATTCTGGGGCATGGCAAATTTCTGATCTCCAATGACGTAAGGACCTGGGCCATTACATTAATTATCAAAAGATTGGTTTAGAGGTTTAACTTAAAGCTAGAATAATCCTAGATTAACATAATAAAACTAGATGTTTCTCAAAATAATACTAGTATCATTTTGTTGGATCAGGAATTAATCCCAATTCTAGTGGTCTCATGACCCTATCCCTGATCAAGATCAGTTCTTCCAGTTTTAGATCAGCAAGTCATCATGGTTCAAAAGCAATTAACGTGCATCTCTTTCTTTTCTTCCCTTTTTCTCTCATCCTTTTCTTAGCCCTGTGTCAAGAATCTTTCCTGGAATCTAGTAGGGATCTATATTCACTAATTCTCAAAGTCTTTAATTTATTGGAATATTTGAAAGATATTAAATTATTCAAACCAAAGAATTAGAAGCTGTTTGAAGATCTGAAAGATGGCACTACATGCATAACCATTGCTTTTAAAAGCGAAAAGCACAAATGAACAACAATGGCCACGTGACAATTGAAGCAAAAGCAAGGAGTGAAGCGCACCTTTCATACAATTTATGGAGAACTGGGAATACCTCGCTTTAATTAAGTGATGAAGCAATAACTTTTAATAACATTGTATATGTATATAAGCAGAGATCCATGAATTGCAAATAAAAAATAATGTTTTTGAATCAACACAAGAGTAGTAACACTGGCATAAAGGCATTGCTCCATGGGATGGTACTTCAAACACTTTGCATTGTGCACTAATAAAATTTTCATATAACTGGTAGTACTATTTAGCAAATAAAGAATGGCTATATCCTGATGACTGATTAAAATTAAGTACGGACTGTAACCTGCAGACACCATGTCCCAATGGAGAGTTTCTCAACATGCTGGAGTGATACAAGGAGATTTTTTAACATATTCTGGTCAGTCCTAAATTCACGTTCGACTTCGTAGTCATCTGTATTCCTATAGAAATCTAGCTTAGCATCGAGTAGAGCTTTTACATCCTCAAGAACAAGTATTCTTTTATGAAAATAACCGCAAATTTCCAGTGAAGTAACGTTCCTAGCATATATTCCCAGCTCGTCATCATCATCATCATGGTTTTGTTGCCCATATTCATCGATCACCAACTTCTTCACACTTTTGGAATCAATATCAAAATAATCAACCCCATAACAACTCCTAAACTTGAGAGACTCCAGAGCACGACATCCAGAACAAATCTTTTTAATAACGTCTCGGTTCAATTCAGCATATCCAATTTCTAAATCCCTAAGGGCAGGCCAATAAATTTCTTCTTTTGGTACAAGATTGCAATTGCACAAACTAAGATGTCGTAAACGGACATCAAAGTACATAATCTGGGGTAAATTGTAAATCTCAATCAAATTACCTCGTGACCTAAGATTCAGATCCAGTTCCTCCACAAGTTTATTTTTAATGAATATCATCCATCTATTAAGGTGTCGAACAAAGCGTTTGCTGTAAATAAAATCGACCGAAAACTTTTTGACCATACCAGACCGGCAAAGAAGTAGTGTATTATCAATAAAGATAACGAATTTATATATACCATTAACATGTAGGCCGGAGTAACTGAAGATTAGGGTTTGTGCTGAAGTCCACAAGAGGTGCCACCTTTTTGACAAAACCCCAGTTCGTACTACTTCACCCATGTCCAAGGAAGAGAGGATGTGAAGTATCAAAGAATCTGGCAAGGCGCTAATTCGATCTGTTTTTTCGGTTTTATGACGTTTCCCACCATAGTAGGAATAAGGAGAAGGAGAGGGAGAGTATCGTGGAGAAGCGGGAGAGTATCGGGGAGAATCATAATCCAGGTTTTCTTCATGTTCTCCTTCTGATTCAGACATGGTGACACTCAAAGCTGTTGATAAATTTGGGACATGGGGTTTAAACGAACCAACTCGTAGTGACGAGTTTTTATTATCTAGAAAAAAAAGCATAGAACAAAAAAAACCGATACGATCTCCGCTTCCCCCCCCCCCCCCTCCCCCTCCTGTTATAGGGAAAATGAGTGTAATTCCCATGTCACTCGGATTGCAAGTCTCTCATGTCTATGCTACTTGGCTATTTGGCCTTTGACTATCTTCGTCGGTCAGTACGGTACGGTATATAGATATTTTGGTTCCATATTTTCGGTATTCGATTTCTTAAAATCATATACCAATACCGTACCTAATTAAATTCGGTATGGTTCGATTTTTCTCCTTTCGATTTCGATTTATTCGGTCTGTTAACTTCGGTTTATTCGGTTTGAATACTAACTAGTGCATAGAACTATACACTCTAATATTCTTAATTAAAGTACTCAAAAATACAAAAGTGAAAATGTTTCTTGACAAAATTTTTGTCCAAAACTAGCAAATATCAACCCAAATAGAGAAAATTGTATATAAAAGAATATTTGATCATTAGAAATGTCTTGTTACTTGTTTAGAGTTAATTGATGAACTTTGAGAATAAAGGAAAGTAAAGATTTAGATTTTTTATATTTATGTTATAATTGATAATGTGTGTTTTGTGTAATATAATATATATTTCGGTACGGTATCGGTATTTCGGTATTTTATCTTAAAATACCAAATACCATACCAAATACCAAATTTTTAAAAAACTTAAACCAAATACCAAAATACCGTATACCAAATAACAAAATTTTCGGTTCGGTACGGTAATTAGGTATTTACCAAATTATGTCCAGCCCTAGTGCCAATAGATCTTTAAGAAAACCCATTAAATCAATCCAACAAAATCGTATCGAATCGATTATTAGATTTGTTTTAATAAGATTATAGGTTTTGATATAAACTTGTAGTCGTACTGAATAATAGGGAAGGTTTTTGAATTCTATAAAAATAAACTGAAAAAATGTTAAATTGTCCCGAATAAATTTATATATGAAAAATATATTTTATTAATATACTAGCAAAGTATTAAAACAAAATTCTCTTCATTCTTGGATTATGGAAATGGCTACAAGGTTGACCAAATAATTAATATCTAAACTCCAACTTCTAAACCTAGTTTAGTACTCATATAGAAATTAAATTAGTTTTAACATCTTGAGTAGCAAGCCACAAGGTATTGGATATCTTTTCTCTCGTACGATTTACATTTCTCTTATTGGATACTAATCTTTTAATAAGCTATATTCTCGAGTCCCAACATGATTAGTATATTTCCAGTTGTATGATTTATATTCTCCTGTCTTTGCTTAATTTATTTTAAGCCATCATAGAATAGTGGGATAAATCTCTATTATGCACATCTTTCATGTTCCTTTGATCATCACTTTTAAAAATAGTAAAAATATCTAGCGAGTTTTGCAAAAGTTCTATGCAAGTACATATTTACCACGTTATAACTCCGCCTAGCGACACTTGCATGGCGTTTTTTAAAAAAATATTGAAAAATTAACCGAACCGTACCGATACCGAATAGAAATCGAGATGATGGAGAAGTTTTCGAAAAGTTTTTTTTTATATATATATATAAAATGGAATAATTGAAAAATTGGTGTGGTATAAATTTTATAAAATAATCGTCCGATTGGTGTGGTAAAAATTATACTATCTATGCTGTAGGTTTATCGTTTTTCGAGTTGTAATATGGTTGTTTTGTAATTTTGTAGAAATGTATATGATCGATTTAAGATGGTTATGCGCAAAAAATTAAAAATCACGCAAAAAATGCGCAATAGAAGATTTGGAGAATCAATTCAAACGAAAAAATTATGTTTTTTCGCATTTGGGATCTTGGGCTACAAATTTGCAAAATTATGTCTAGGTCATGCAGTTGTAATGTATGTGTATAAGTTGCACTTATGTGTAATACACTCAAAATAAAATTACAAATAAATTGACTAACATATGTCTTGTTGAATGTCGAGAATATGATGATCTTAAATTAGAAACGAGAGGGTAAGCAAAATGCAGTTTAGTACTCTAGGACATAAATTGATCGACCAGCCTTGAACCCACGGCCTAGTAGTTTGGAGAGAACTCCCCGATCACTATGAACAAGGATGGCCGGCCAGTTTAGGTCCAATAACATATAGGAGTACTCTGTTTGTGATCTACCGCTAGTCTTAGATTGTTAGTTTTTGATAATATTGGAATTTAACATGTCACGAAATAAGATTACACCTAATTAAATAATTTTTGGAAAAATTACTACTGTATGTTTTAATTTTTAAAGGAACTTCCAAAGACAATTAAAGTAACCAACAAATTAAGAATATGTAAGTGACGATAAGGAATAAAAACAAAATGAAAGCATACTTTAAACAACTTAAATAGTTTCCCTTGTTAATACGTATTACGATTGATGTATAAGATTCCTGAACGTGTACCCTTCCTAGAAGGTGATTAATTCTGTAATTGATGACGTACTAGGATATCTTAGAGTAATTGAATTGGTTTTTTTGTTGATCCCGCCTCTTGAATACAAAAAGCATGCGATGTACATTGTTCAGTTTGGTTGAATACAATTTATCCTTTTCGACCAAAGGAAAAAAAAAAAGACAAGGAACGAAAATATGCAAAGTGAACAGAGCAATTATTTTCAATGAAATAGCTTTGGTAAGCCATGTATATCACCCCTCCCCCCCTTTCTGGTAAATTGTTTTTAGATTTTTCTCTAGCTTCGTCAAGCTTCCATATAATTATAGTCTCCCTTAAGGTATCGTTTGGTTCGCGACCAAAATTATTTATTATAATCTTGAGATTAGTAATCTCTTGGATTATTTAATGTTATTGCTTTGTTTGGTTCATTAGATTGAAAATGAGATATACCATACACATTCCAAAGCATATGTTTGGTTTGAAGGTAGATAAGCTTGGATGACACTTTGTTTCCTATTTTAACATTGGTTCAAAAAATGAAAGGCTGCAGTAAAAAGGGAAGATGGATAAGTTGGTCATTTTATAACTTTATCCCAGGGTAATTAATTCCGGTGTTATTTATCCCACCTAGAAGACCGGTTAAAGTAATTTCAATTTGAGGTATAATTTTATACTTGACTTAATTAATACCCTAAACCAAACATGAAATAAATGTAATCCCAATTTTATACCACTTTATTCCGAATGACCCAAACGACCCCTTAATAGAGAAAATACCTTTTATTATATGCATATGATAGAAATTATTTGAGGTGATTTATGTGGCATGTGATAAAGAAGTATCTAGAATAAGAAATAGCTAAACCCGTCAACATTCAATAACCAAGTCGTTGTAGTATAGTGGTAAGTATTCCCGCCTGTCACGCTGGTGAACCGGGTTCGATCCCCGGAATCGGCGTCTTTTACTTTTTTCACTTTGAAGATTTTCATATCACTTTTTTTTCTTTTTCTTTCAAAAGTCTTATTGATTTCCTCATCAAAGGGCAAGGTTCCGGCCCCATGATTTCTGAATAACACCAAATTCCTCCAAAATTTACAAAAGATAATGAGAAGACACTAACTTTTTCAGCAATTCCCAAGTCATCTATTCCAATTTCTCAATCAGAAACCTGCAACAATGTCTGAATCAGAAGAAGAAGCAAAAGCGGATTTGCTTCGCGGGAAACGTCGTAAAACTGAAAAAACAGATCGAATTAGCGCCTTGCCAGATTCTTTGATACTTCACATCCTCTCTTTCTTGCAGATGGATGAAGTTATACGAACTGGAGTTTTGTCAAAAAGGTGGCACCTCTTGTGGACTTCAGCACAAACCCTAATTTTCAGTTACTCAAGCCCACATGATCATGGTACCTACAGTAAGTTCGTTACTTTTATTGATGATACCCTACTTCGTTGCCAGCCTAGTAAATTGAACAAGTTTTCGGTCGATTTTATTTACAGCAGACGCTTTGTTCGACACGTTACTAAATGGATTACATTCGTCAAGAATAAATATGTGGAGGAACTGAATCTTCATCTAAGGTCACGAGATTTGAATGAGATTTACGATTTACCCGAGCTTATGTACTCCAATATGTGCTTACGAGACCTAAGTTTGCGCCATTGTAATCTTGTACCAAAAGGGGAGATTAATTGGCCCTCCCTTAGGGTTTTAGAAATTGGATATGCTGAATTGAACCAGGATTTTATTAAAAAGATTTGTTCTGGATGTCCTGCTTTGGAGTCTCTGAAGTTTAGGAGTTGTTACGGGATTGGTTGTTTTAATATTGATTCCAAAAGTGTGAAGAAATTGGTGATCAAAGGATGTTGGGATGACGATGATGATGATAATGAAGAAGAAAAAGAGCTGGGAATATATGCTAGGAATGTTACTTCACTGGAGATTAGCGGCCATTTTCATAGAAAGATACTTGTTCTTCAGGATGTAAAAGCTCTCGTCGATGCTAAGCTAAATGTTTATAGGAAGCTAGATGAGTACATACATAATTACGAGGGTGATTTTAAAACTGATCAGAATATGGTGAAAGATCTCCTTGTGTCACTCCAGCACGTTGAGAAACTCTCCATCGGAACATGGTGTCTGCAGGTTTGAGCTATCTCCTTCATTTACTCGACAAAGTTTAAGTATTCTTTATTTGCTGAAGAGTTTATAATTCTATGCACTGAAATATTTACACAATCATGTAACTTATAAGATAATTACCGGTAAATTTCTACGATAAGAGTAACCTGATAAAAACGGTCACCAACATGCTATTACAGATTAAGCTACCCGAACAGTATAGACATTCTATACACTATCAACAGATATAGTTTAAATCCCTTGCTATGGTAGTACTACCATTTATATGGAAAATTGGAAATTCTGTTACTGCACAATGCAAAGTGTTTGAAGTAGCATACGTTAACAAATCAATAGCTTTATGTTAGTGTTACTACTCTTCCATTAATTCAGAAGCATTATTCTCTACCTTTATATTTATGGATCTCTGCAGTTATGTAGCGCCAGCTTTCAAACATATATTTTGATCTTCAAACAGCTCCTCGGTTGTTCTTACCTTAAA